GTGAGTCCACCAAACCGCCTCGCACTTTAATGCAATCCACTTTTCACAAAAAATTTCCATCCCACTGGACTTGTTAAGCAACGTCTTTTTATCCGTAAATACCAATGTTCCATTGTTTAATAGCTGGACTAAAGCAGTTGATGGTGGAGCAGTGGTGGGTGACATTTACGTGCAATTCTCAAAAGCGTTTGATCATTTAGACCAAAGAATTCTCCTCCATAAACTTTAGCTCCATGGGTTTGGTGACCCACAGTTACGTTGGATAAGCATTTCCTGCACGAAGGTCTGTTGGGATTGAGATTACGAAAAGCCGACTCAATTAAAGTGGAGTCCAGCGTATCACATGCTCGGTGTTCGTGACTCGCCTATTGTTGGTTTACAACAAGCTATGGCGAAAGACATTACTTCCGATTTCTTATACTTCGCAGATGATACCAAGTTATGGTGAGTGATCAAAGAACCGAACGACTACGCAAAGCTCCAGTGGGCACACAGCACGATTTCACACTGGTCCATTCTGAATATGCAATCGCTCAATGTGAAAAAATGTCACGCAGTCCAATTGCGCTCTAGGCATGACTACGTGTATAGGTTTAGGTCACATTTATTGCATGCAAGTTCCTAAGAACTTGAATTTGGTGCGTCAATCAAAGTGACCTTGCCCGCTCAAACCAGTGACAAGCAGCTGCGAAGAGTGCTAACCAGCACGTCGGAGTGTTGCGGACAGCATTCAGCACATTTAACCCATCTATCTTCCCATCGATGCACAATTTTTACGTGCGCCCTCAGGTTGAATACGCCACCCAATTTTAGTATGCATGGTGATAACACGAATTAGAAATGCTAGAGAAATCACAATGCAGAGCCACAATTAACGTCAAGGGCCTATAAAAACTGTCCTACCATAAACGTTAAAGTCACAGAATGTTTTCAATGCCCGCTACCAAAGGCTGTGTGGTGATCTAATCTTATTCTACCAAATATTGTATGACCATAGTCACGTATGCCGCCATTTGCTAAAACTTAACCATAAGACCAATAGCAGAAATAACACACTGCTGCCGTGTGCGAAATATAGCCGCCTGGAACGCCATCGGAATTATTTGTTTCTTCGTTTTGGTAAACACTGGAGCACTTCTCCAAACCTTTTGGTTTCCTTCCCACATTTGATCTCTACAAAAACGATTGGATCTTGCCCTCTACCCCCAATAATTCGTTGCTTAAACTCCGCTAGTTTGGAAAATATTAATTGTTCCTTCATGTCGGATTAACATGTCATTTTAAACTAAGAAGACGGTACATACTTTAGTATCCTTATTTCTACTTTCCTCATGGAGTACTACAGTAATGTGTCTCCAGGTTACCTCGCTTTTGGATTCGTTTCGCACCTACACTGAGATTACTTAGCAGCGTATCTGCTAGCTAAATGCTCAAACAACCAAATAACCTATCTTTTGATAATTGCAGTTTTATCCCGACCATCCTACGGTACTTTTCATGCGGCTGCCATTTTACCTGGCTTTAACTTTATTTATTCTTACTTTAACATCTTTTTGCATCCAGATCTCAGTTTACCATTTTGAGCAGAGTTTTTACGAACCTTATTTTTAAACACCGGGCGTTTCTTCAAGTTCATTTTACTTGCGTGGCGTCCTCTGTTTTTTAAGTGAATCGTGCTAATTTTTGTGAACACACGCTTTTAAACCAAATCGTCATTATATGTTAGGCCTTGCTTCATTCGTCGTTGTCACAATAACATCAGTTGTCATGTATTGAAGTGCTCCTAATGCGTAAGTTCGAATGACTTAGGCACGTCTTGTAGGCATACGAGGTCGCCTTTCCTACCCCTCCTATAGATAAACGAGCACTATTCTAGTACAGGGTGAATGCAGACTTTGAGCGAGTGTAGTTTAACTTTACGCAGCAAGAGTGACTTTAAGAAGATTCTTGCTCAGCTTCGTGACCTGGATTTTATGAATACAACTTGCTCAGCAAGGTAACGTTTAGTTGATGGAAGTTCACACTCGCATGTCAACACACTGTATTTTCCGCTAAGAAAGATATTCGCCAGTGGGTGCACCATGATTCCAAGGCCAGTTGGTTTATGCGGACGTTTTCTAGAGTACCGCTTAAATACAGGATATCAAAGGGCATAGTATTTTTATGTCATCCGCTAAGATATTTGGTGCACCATATTTATGTTTCAGTTATATCGTTGTTATAAACCAAGTAGGATCTAACAAACCAACTTGAAGCACACCACTGTTTACCTTCAGTGGTGAATATTTGGTAAACCCTATTTGTACTTGGCATGTGCGATCAGAGAGGCGAGATTGGAACCATGGGTGCAGAGGATCAATGATCCCAAAATTTGTTAGCTTCCGTTATATGAGTGAACCTTAAGCGAACTTGTTAACGATTGTCCCTAGAAGCAAGAAAGAACCCATTGGACAACAGAAGTAAGCGCACGCAGCATACTTATTATTATTATTACTTATTACTTATTATCTGCATTTCAATACATCTTTCGCATAACCGTTGACCTCAGGACTAAATTGCTGCTATGGCTAATGGTACCGATATTGCGTCCGTGTGGAGGGAATATTGTGGGAGTTGCCTGAAGAGAACAAGACGTTAACGTGAGCAGCGTACACGGAAGAAATCGTTGTACTTATAGATGGGCCTCAGCGCCGAAAGGTCTCGTTGGCTGACAGGGTTGGGGTGATTACACTGGCTAGATCGTAGATAAAGATACCATGGCATTCCACATAGCCCGTCAATGCGTCGGCCAGAAGGTCTTCCATAACTTTGGCGAACACCGAGAGAAGATTACCGGGCGGTTATTGGCAGGCTCGTACCGACTTGCTCCCTTGTGAATAGGATTGATGTAACCTAGTTTCCACTTTGACGGAGCTATGTTGCAGTCCAGAGATGGCTGAAATAATCCGGCTAGGTGCGTGCTTGTTACCTTTAGTGCTTTGGGGGTGGATATTGTCCAATCCAAGAGATCTGTGCGTACGCAAGGACCATGGCATTTGCAGTACCGTTTCCGCAGTGAATGTTATGCTGGATCAAACTGCTAGTTTGTGAACTTGTCTTCACGCACCAAGTGCACAGAGTCGTTCGTCTGAGTTGCGTATACCGTCCAATTTTCTGAACAGCGATTGTTTCTATAACCATGCCAAGTCCGGTCCCTCAAGGCCATATATTTTCGTGTTCGGCTTCTCTGAAAAGATTTCGTTTTGAGGAGAGGATGAATAGCTTTCAGTTCTGCTGCCTTCGCGACTAGGGATGTGAACATGCCCACAAATTTGTCCCAAGCTGTTTCTGGAATACACGGACAGGGTGCGATTAGGTGCAATTGATGGCATCTTCTTGGGCTTAGCTTAGACACAGCTCCTCGATCCTTTCTGTGCAATGACGCATACAATGCGATTTCATCGGCAGTCCTTCTCCACAAACACGTGCAGCTAGTGGTCCCTTAATTGGCATACACGGCAGCATGTAACGATCATTTCGCTTGATATACACCTACGTTTTCCTGAGAGACTGAGCGACACTGTCAGCTTTTCATGGTACACCGTCACGGTCACTGTTAAACAAATTAGACAGCGTGCACCCCACTTGGTTCCTGCAATTGCTATCAAGACTGTAACGGGAGTAGTCTGTCAACGACAGCTTTTCCGGACTCATTTATGCAGAAGTAGCATCTCATATTTTCACCGTCTAATTGTTACGAATTCTTAGTTTGCTAAGGTGGTTTATGTGAAGGTAACATTCTGTCTACAACAGCGTTGTCACTAACCCTTTTATCATTTGTTGGGATAACATTAAGCAACCGTCGAAGCGCCATCAACATTTGAACACGGTAGCCAATGCATTATGCACTGCTGTCGAGATGTTGCAAACCACCAGCCAAAATCGTCGGCAGCGACCCAATCTGAACTGAGCGGTGTCAAAATCGCCGGGGGTAATTAACATATTTCAAGGACACATGCACAGCTATGCGTCCTCACGTCGTATTCACACCCCAGACATGCGTGGGTGAGTAAATAGAGTAGACTTACATGCCATTGGTGGGTCGGCAAATTAGTGCACTCCAATCCCACTCTGACCTGCGCGGCTGATCTAGGAGCGACTGAGCAGCATCGAAAGACTCTTATCAAACCAACGGTACATTGCTGGGATGTTTTGCAGTAAGCCCTATCGGTATGGTTTCGTTCGTGGAAGGCAACAGACTTTTCTCATAATATTTCTCTAAAGATTTGGTGACTGAAATTAAGTAGAGGTACATTGTGTCCCTAGTTTCATATTTTTTTGCAAACCACGGCAGTAATAATTATAATCGTTTCATCGCTTACCGCGGAATATCAATTCTGGGGCAGCATTGATATTAAATGAGCATCGGTTTTTCCTTCACGTAGGCAAAATCTTCTATGAAACATAGTTGTCTCGGACAAGTCCAGAAGGCGTGCTTTGCACTAGCTTAAAACGGACATAATGGCTAAAGATGGAAACATTGCGTGATTAGTTCATGATTGTGTGTAACATCTGGATGAGAACCGAGCTCCGATTATAAAGGCAAACAATGCATTTTATAAAAGTTGACATGCATGTAAGATGCACAAACGTCCGGTGGGTCTCTTGCAAAAATATGTGCATGTCTTAACCCTGGTAGCACAAACGTAACACTAAACGTAGCAACCTGGACATAAACTGGACAGATGTCCACTTCAGGTATTAATGCATTACTTGCAGCTAAATGCATTTAGTTTGACATTTGTTAATAAATTAGTAGTTGATATGCATTATATTTGCTATTATTTGACCATAACCCCAGCGGTTTAAATGCATCTGCAGGTCTTTTTATTTGGCCGTTTTCGGTTTCGTTACCTTGGTCGCTGATACTGCTTGGTTCTGCGCTATTGTCTAGCTTCCTTGAAACTGCGTTTCCCCAGGTGTACCTATCGGGTATTTCGGTTAAACATTGTTTGATACGTAGGTGTTCCTTTTCAGCATGTCACGTCGACGAAGTTATCAATTAACTGCACAGTTTCCGTCTCGTAGCACCATTTACCGTGCAGCGAAAAGAATGACATCAGGATTCAGCTACGAAGAGGTGCTTCTGTTGTCAGAAGCTAAACGACAGAAGGGTAAGAGCATCTTTAACATATCTTAAATATGAATGCTTACACAGTTCAGCCACCTGCACACGTTATCAACCGCAGTGAAGATGACAGGGACCCCGATGAATTGGTACATAACTTGAGAAAATTGATTGCAAAATCTCAAGTACCTGCGTCTTTTGTTCGTCCACTGTTGTGCCTTGTGCAGCCGTGGATGCCATTTTTGCCAAAGGATTACCGGACGTTGATGCGCACCCCACGGACCTCCCGCATTCGCGTTGTTTCACCGGGAACTTACGGTCTCGTAGGTCTGCTGAGAGGTTTACAGCGTGCATGCTCTGCTATTTCGCTCGCCGCTGATGACACTGTTGACTATCAGTTGCATATCGACGGTTGCTCAAATCATGCGGCGTACGTCGGAAGAGGAACAGCTTCCTCCTACTTCCAGCAACGCAAGCACGGTTGGGAATGTAGAGATGTGCACCTATAAGGGTCAGAAGGCGTTTTGTTTGCACGGCATTTTGTTTTCCACTGTGAAGCCGGATAACGTGGTCATCATCGATGCCAAACCCAGAGTACTGACAGATGTGTCTGTGAATGTGTCCGGGAACATTGTCGTGCAATGCCGGGAATTTATGAATCTCCGTAGTCTGTTCACGCATAGCATGGATTCTTCAACGGCGTACATCTTCCGTGCATCGCAGTTGTCAACTGAGGTATGTACCTTCTCTGTCTGTCATATTCTCTTTAAGTGCATTGCTTTACCCTTAAACGATTTTCTTGTAATTTACCCTATGCCACACAGTTATACACTTTAACTACTAACGTCTTTCTTTTTCAGCAATGATGGCTTTTCAAGGATACAGCGTTGTCAAACTCCTTGACTCCGAGGATTTAATAACTATTGTCAGTAACTCTTGGCTTAGAGAAGAAGGTTCGTACGCTCAAATACCTTCAGTGCGGGGTACGCACTACTATGCAGCGGTGAAAAATCACACTGTGCCGGATGTCGATGTGGTCAGCACTGCCGTGTCCATAATCGTTAGCAGTAGTAAGTATTTCTCTTATATTAACCCACCTCGTTAGTTAGCTTCCAGTATGCCCGAGAAATGGAACGGCAATCCGAGCGCGGGATGCTGTCATCGACAGACGATGCAATTCCCATGGGCCTTCCAGCTAAGCGTGCAATATGAGTATTGTGTTTTTTATTTCCCCTTAGACGCCGGCCCGTCCTTTCGAGCTCCGATGACGAGGATGCCGCGCGTCCAAGCAAACCCAGAAAGCCTTCTGCAGCAACCTACGCACGTGCGCCCTCCTGTCTGTTCAGTGGCATTAGTCCGTCACGTCCAGGACCATCAACAAGCAACCGTAAGTATCGATTTCATACTGCCCCTATTAAACATTAATCGCGCCACCGGTTATTGCTGACGTCCCACCAAGCAATCTGGATGTGCTGCACGAACTGCAGGCCATAAAATGTAAGACGCCACAGATGTATTGCATTGCACTCAGCCTTATTTTTAGATGAGTTGTGTCTCATTCGATCAGAATTGGTCGGCCATCGTCGCATGTCCGAAGCGATGTTGCAAATGCTACAACGACAATCCCAAAGTGCTGCGCCGGGACTAACTCTGCCATTCATCTCTCTCAGTGAGCTAAAGAGATAAGATGAACGGCTGAAGGACCCCGATTTCAAAATCAGAGTCGTAAGTTCGTCTTATTATTCAGCTACTTTAGGTCAACCATTTATGTGCTGTGCACGGTGATAACATACAACTCATCGTCCAGGGTACCATGGAGCGGCTAATGACAAGATCAGTTGCCGCGGAGACAAATTTCTCCGGCGCTAGAGGTTCCTTTGCATTCAGGCGAACAAATATGAACGGCCTTGTACAAGGTAGGTTGAAATGCAGTAATCCATAAAAACTACCAAGGCCTCATTCGGCAACGCATGGGTGATGCAGCCCCAGATGCTGACATTACACGGCACATCAAAACGTGGTTGCATTATGCACGGCACAAAAGACCGCCGGTTGAGCAAACTAAAGTATGCAGTGCGAATGAGGTGAGTCCCCTGCTTCCTTAGGCACATCTTTAGCCTCCTACGTTGACACTCGCGGAAGCGGATTAAGAATATTGACTATGCCGCTTTCTGCTACTAAAGTTCTTTGTACTGCACCCCTTCATGTACATATAGCATTCCTATACCTCGGTTTTAATTTTCTTTAGCCTTGTGATGTCAGGTGCGCGGTAAGAGCGGTTTTCTTTTCTGACCAACAGCTTTGAGCCGCCGCTTAGGTGGGTTCCCAAGTCCAGAAACTACCGCAACTGGTACCGGGTGAACACTAGGTCCGTGCCGTCCATATATTCGTTAGGCGCATAGTGGGTTCAAGTGTGTTGTCCGTATTCGGATACCCATGGGAGGCAATGACGGGATCTGGACCAACCGGATTGTCACGCATAGTGGTGAATTTCTATCGGTCAACGCTAGCATCATCTTCATTGGTCCAACGTAAACTGGACAGGAACCCTTTTCAGCCGTCTCGCGGTAATACTTCCTGTCCAGTTTAGCCTAATGCTCTCATAGGAACGTTTAGGATGCTGAACTGGACAGGACCTGGACATGTGCTACCAGGGAAGATGGGGTACCATGGTAGAATTAGTCCGTGAGTGTCAAACGATCTGACATTTGACAGAAGGTTCCCTAGAACATTCGCAGAAGTGTTAGTGAGTACCCGGGGCCTCACGTCGATAAGAAGCACTTGTTAGTCGTCTTCCTACAGATATAGGTGTCAAAAAGTCTGAGCGGAAGGCTCCTAGCGCGGATCTAAAACGACAGAGATTTAGCTTCTGTGCTTACGGGAAGGAAACTAGATAGAATATCATAAATAATGCAAGTAGTTGTTAATAGTTAAAAGCATCTAAATATGGCAATATCCTTATCAAATTTTGCAGAAACCTACATTATGTATCATCCAAACGACTAACAAATAAGGAAATTATATTTGGTTATTTCATATTTATTTTATTTAACCAAGCTACAAACCTTGGTGATAAGTACATTTCTTGCAATGGCATTGTCAACCGTACTAAAAGCTATTCTATATATGCAGCTAAAATTTTGCATAACTGCTCAGATACGGTTAGGCTGTAAGCTACACTAGACTCAAGTCAGTGTATGTTAGATTTTTTCCCACTGACGATCAAACGTAGCATAAAATTTGAAGTAAGTTATATGCAGACCACAAGTGGGAGACTGTTGATTTTAGCATGCTTTAAGCAAAGAGTAATAATTATCATGTTTACCAAACGCCATGTAATTAGACCTAATTGTATTGAAATTATCCTGACAAATGTAAGGTATAGGTGCAAAAATATTATGTTGCGAAATAGCCTTTTAAGTTTTAACATTTTCCACATGTAAGTTAGTCTCCCATACCTATCACCTAAACTGTTTATCTAATTTGTGTGATGTCCCAAGATATGAATTAAAATGTAGGACTCAACTGGACTACTCATGAGCACCAGTAAGTAAAAATCCTCTTTGTTTTTCTCATCCATGGCAGACTCTATTCTCCCTACTCGCCGTTCACTTTTTGATAGTTTTTTAACTGGTGCGTTTATTCTTATTCTGTCTAGCTCATTGAAACGCATTTTATGGCGATTAGCCGACTCCAATGGTGTTTGTGTTTTGAGTTTCTTTGTCCATGCCCTCCCTTTAGGTTCCCCTCCAATTCCTAACTCAGACGCAACGAATAATCAAATTTGTTCTAGTGTAACTTGTGGTGTAGTTTCTTAGTCATATCCCTTCGTAATGCGGCACAAAAGTTGAGGCCTGTTTCTCTTTCTCAGCTAACCTATACTGACAGTGATGATGATGGTGATTATGAAGACCGAGCATCTCAGAGATAGGTAGCCTACTCCGCTCTCAATCATTGAAAGCGACCGTAGCATCATAAAGTGAGATATATAGTCTAAGCCCTCCAATAAAACCAGTTTTGTACATCGATATCTTGGAACATATTTGGAAGCGATCGGGAAAACATCATTTTAGGAAAGTTGGTAGACTACCGGTTAATATATTTATGGTTATACACAACGTTGCGCTTTTTACAAAAAGCCTTCATCAGGCCAAGTGAACTAGCTTAACGTTGGCATTTTCTAACGATCATGGCTAAGCTACATACAGAAACTAATCAATTTGCACTTCATCAATGAAAGGAAGGATTCACTCCTTTTAGATAGAACAAGTAATTGCATTTGCAAAATGCCATCTACAGATGGTACGCAAGTGTATATAGGCCAAACAGCGAGGGAATTACGTAAAAGGATTTCAAAACATGGGCGACACATATCAGGACCACCGCGAAACGAGCTAAAGTATAGAGCTCTGTTCAGATACTCACCAATGGCAATACATGCGCTAGACACAAGGCACGAAATTGACTTTGAAAATGTCGAGGTTACTAGGAAGGGATTAGGATCAGCCAAACAAAGTCTGATTGTTGAGGCTAAAGAAACAACCAAGGATAAGAACTGCGTGAATAGAGTAGATGGAGTAGGGCTGTCTAGCGCCTGACATCCAGTCTTTATGCGGCAGGGTTGATAAGCATCAGTGAATGGATCCCAACTCGGAATGGAGTATGGACCTACTTGCATCAAATTCCGAAGTACTATAGTCAAGTTATATCAGTGACCGAGTGCCTTGTAACTGACCACTTAAGATTGGTGACCACACATGTGACTATCATCGGACCAGCAACTATTTTCCCCATTTGACCTTGACTGAACCCGACTACTGTGTACACACGAGCCTAGTGACATTTGACCGTTGTAATCATTCATCGATGAATTGCAAATTAATTAGTCTATGTATGTAGGTTAGTCATGATCGTTATAAAATGTCAATGTGAAGCTAATTCATTTCGCATGATGAAGCTTTGTGTCAAAAGCGAAACGTTGTGCATCACCATAAATATATTAACCTGTCCTCTACCAACTTTTCTGAAATGAAGTCTTTGGACATCTTTACCAAATGGAACTATGCAAACACATTTATAATTTTTATCCCTCCATGAGCACATGTTAACAGTAGTTCCTTACTGGTGTGTAATTCAAAGACAGGTTTTATGGCCTCACATACATAAAGAGAGAAAGTATTTCTATTAGTATCTGAAGCAAGCATATTCTTGGAAGTGCACCAATTTCCACTGTTGATTTGGGAACAGTTCCTGTGCTCCCATATGACCGAGATTTCTTTTCGCATCTCATGAACCTTGTTGG